TTTTTTACGTATTTATATCTATTTTTAAGTATTTTACATATTTTTTATGTATTACGTATTTATGTATTTTTTTAAGTGTTTTATATAGATGTTTTTGTATTTATGTATTTTAAATGTATAGACATATTGTTTTACGTATTTATATGTATTTTTAAGTATTTTACATATTTTTGTGTGTTTTTATGTGTCATGTATTTATATGTATTTTTGCGTATTTATGTATTTTTTTTAGTTTTCTTATATAGATGTTTATGTACTTTTATGTATATTAAATGTTTAATTGTATTATTTTTACGTGGTTATATATTTTTTACGTAAAAATAATACAATTAAAAATTTAATATACATAAAAATACATAAACATCTATATAAGAAAACTAAAAAATTACATAAATACGCAAAAATATATATAAATACATAATACATAAAAACACACAAAAAATATGTAAAATACTTAAAAATACATATAAATACGTAAAAAAATACGTTTATATATTTAAATTACATAAATATACAAAAACATCTATATAAAAAACTTTAAAAGAATACATAAATACGTAATACATAAAAAAATATGTAAAATACTTAAAAATAGATATAAATACGTAAAAAATACGTTTATACACTTAAAATACATAAACATCTATATAAAAAGCTTAAAAAAATACATAAATACGTAAAAATATATAAAAATACATATAAATACATAATACATAAAAATATATAATACATAAAAAATATGGTCATGGAGGTTCGCTTGCAGTGACTCCTGAGACAAAGCCTCATGTTTGCAGCGGGGGATTAGTCGGTGCGCGAAAGTTGGCCCGAAAACCCTCGCTAGGGAAGTTCGTTTTCCAAAAAATACATAAAAAATATGTAAAATTGTTAAAAATACATATAAATAAGTAAAAATATACATTTATACATTTAAAATGCATAAAAATACGTAAAGATATACATATAAAAACATAAAAAAAATACAAAATTACGTAAAAATAGATATAGATATGTAAAAAATATGTTTATACATTACATAAATTTTTTGATGAAATCTGCAAAAAAAGTCTCATTATTTTCGAAAAATTAACAATCTGGTCTCATGACCTGCTGAACAAGTCAAAAAAGACTAAAGTGAATAAATTAGCCGGTGTATTGGGCTTTTCTATTCAAAAGATGAAAAAGTCAGGACTTTTTTATTAAAAAAATAAAATTTAGGACTTTATTAAAAATTTGCCCAAAATATTGAGAATTTTCTGGAGATATCCGTCACAAATAAAAATGAAAAAATTTATTTGGCATAGCTCCATCATTGGTTGAGGTTTTCAATTATGTGAAGACTCATTGGCTAAAATAATGATAATATATGTGATAAAGATTCAAACAAATACTCAAAACATTCATTCATATAAAAATAGGTTCTTCGACCATTATGTCATCCCCGATTTGTGAGATTATGGGGAGAGGCTTGCCTTATGCAAACTGTTAAATAGAATGCTTTGTAGTAATGTGTAGTACTTTCTCATGAACATCCTGATGCGTTTAAAATTTAAAATTGGGTCAGCTCAGATAATGTCCTACCTACTTACTCTCGCAATTTGTATAAAAGGTATATTGGAGTAGGGGAGAAGGAAGACATACAATTGTTTTACTACTTTGTTGAGTCAACAAGGAACCCACATGAAGACCCTCTTATATTTTATATTCCCGGTGGACCTGGTGCTTCTGCGTTAATCACATTCTTATATGAATTAGGTTTGTTTTTATTACTAGTTTTGAAATTGCAATTTCGTTACTTTTTTTTTCTTTTATCATCTCTAATAAATCAAAATCTTTTTGTCATATGTCATCTTCTCTTTTATTTGGACACATGATATTTTCTACAATTTTTGAATATTCTATTTTTCATTGGTCATTTTATTGTATTTTTTATTTTATTAACTTAAATTCCACATTTAATATGAAACGTAATATATATGTAAAATATTTATTAGAAGGGGTTTATATATGTAATGTATTCAATGTAATAATAATAGCTTGCACTTTAGAGGATTTAGATGGTTGGATAAATGAATTGAAATTTCGGATATAATAAAAGTTTCTATGATCCATTTTAAAATTAACAATATATAAAAAATTTGAGTATACATCAAAAATTTATTTTTTTTTTGAAGTTTTTAAGTAATATAAAAAAAATATTCATAAAATAAAAAAATTTATATTTTTTTCCTAAAAAACAATTTTTTTTTAGATCAGTGAAAAATATTTTTTTCTCAAATTTTTTCCAATGTCTTAGATGTAGCAAATGTTTATTTTTGATATATATATATATATATATATATATATATAGAGAGAGAGAGAGAGAGAGAGAGAGAGAGGGGTTCTTTTGAGAAACAAAAAATATGTAAGAAATTTCGAACTCATAATCAACTCATTATTTTTCAACACCAAAAACACAAATCTTATCCAAATGATGCGTCTAAGCCATAAAAGATTTGATGATTTTTTTTTTATTTTTTGTGGTTTTTTTGTATGACTACTGATGAAAACAATCAGCTGTCATATAGACTGTTGATGAACACAATCAGCAGTCCATACGACTGTTGATTATGCGTACATGCAAATTTCGAAAGTAATAAAAAAAAATGTCAAATTTTATTTTAGTCTAGATATGGTTTAGACGCACAATTTGGAGAATATTGATGTTTTTGGTTTTGAAAAATGATGAGTTGATTATGAGTTCGCAAGTTCACACGGTTTTTTTAGTTCTCACAATA